TTCCTCAAACCCGACTGAATCACGTCCATCAGAGTGGATCCGTTGCTGGTCACGCGCGTCTTCAAGTTATCGAAGACCGCCTGGCTCAAGTGTTTCTTCAACAGAGACGAGCTATCGATCTTCGTGTACTCGGCGTAGGCCTCCTCGAGGGCCTTCACTCTCTCGTCGCTTGTACTCATGAAGCCAGGCATCGTCGACGCCTTCTGCTTCTTTTCACAAGCGCACAGACGCTTGTCGCACATTTTCCTTGGCGCTCCTCTTCCTCTTCCGTGTTGTCTACTCTGGGGCTCTGTCTGGAGACTGGAAAAGCGAGTAACGATCGTTGCGAAATTATTTTCACGCGAAGCTTTGCGTAGGGCAGCTCCCTTGGCCACGACAGCTTTCGTAAGTCGAAGCATCGTGGATTAGGTTCGTAAGCATGTGCAAAACTCGAGTGTGCATTTGAGATTTTCTTAAAAATTGCCACGAACTTTCTGGACAATCCAGTATAAACAATCCTCGGCAATTATTCAAAAGAAAACTATCTCCGAACTCGTCACTCGTGTAAATCACGCTGGAATCACAATATATAAACGATCGAGATAGATGCAAATGTCTGTGGCAAAGATGTACAGACAGTGGAAATGGTTTCTGTCACACTGGCGTGCGTCAAAGGGTTAACATCGTTATTGCTGGAGATTTCGACTGCTGATTATTCCGCCTCTAACCTTTCGCTGGTCCCCCGTCAGAACGTCTCTATCGTTTCGCCTCGGTTTCTCCCCCGTTTCGTAGTTTTCCCTCTCCCGTCCGCGTTCCCGTGGCATCCCCCGGAGCGACGAGTTTTAATTACACATATTTTTTGTGCGAGCCGCTCTCAAGACTCGCGGTATGCGGCCAGAAGAGCCCTACACGACGGCGACGTGAATATTCTGAATTTTGACGGACGCTCGACGCTTCTGGCATAGCCATCTCGACGCCCGAGCGGCCGCGAAATCTCGTTTCCTGCTTGTCGCGAAAAAAAGTATTCGGCGCTGGCTTCAAGTTCCCGTCGCCGGGCGGAACGTAACCGAAAAGTTTGTTTCGGTAAGCACGACTTTGCGTCGCGACGGCTGCGAACGACGACCACTCGAGTACCCACCTGCCAGCGATGGGACCAATCCAACTACTCGTCGACACGTTCGGAATGAGTAAAAACAACGGTGGAAAGTTATTCGCGCGAAGGTAAATAGACTGTTTTGAGGTTGGCAGGGATTCTTCCCTTGGTCGAGGATTTTTTAATTATTTTTTCTTGGACATATACGTCTTTGACAGTATCAGAGAAGAAGAGCTAGACTTGGATACTGTGAGCCTTGAATACTTTAAAAGTAGAGCAAGGTTTAATGGTTCACCGAGGGTACGCCAATGTCAAATTAATTTTGATAACCATCTCATTGGGAAATTGCAATTCTGGAACTATTTAGTCATCGAAGACGAGTAAACAGCGATCGTCTTCGTGAAATAAAAATTCTAAGTAGGTAATACTGTCAAGAAAATCATTGTACGAATGTGACGAAACATTTTCTGATACTGCCAGAGTCGATACGGTCGCAAATGAGATCTAGACGACATAAGAACAAGGTAGCACAATGATTACACCATTAATGACTTAATCACGTTACGATTACCTGCATTGCTAATCAGTCCCGATTACTCGCCAACCGTAATCATTAATAGGTTGGTTTGATTGCACCGTAATCGTGACCGTAAATCATTAATCGGATTACATTTTGGCTCAACATTGTATTCGAAGGATCGATACAAGGGAATCAATTTCTGACGTGAATGAGTCGATAGTATCTAAACACGTTTCAGTGCCATCTCTGCCACTAGCTATCTCGCGCGATGCTGTGGGAGCCAGGGAGATTAGATTAATCTTGTTCGGTACCTGCTGAGTCGCCTTTGTTTCAAATTAATGAACTAAAGCCAGCGATAGGGCTAGCATCGTATCGACATCGTTTATACCAAATAATTATACGTACACGAGAACATCCTCCAAGTATTTGGATCGACAGATCGAAGAAAAAAACAGAAATAACTAGTACAAGAATAAATAATACAATTCTCGTAAGTTATTCATATGTCGAACTATTTTTACTAAACACACATTCGTCTCGGATTTTTCTCCCTGACATTTCCATAATTTCAAATAGTAATGGTTCGATACCACTCGTTAAATAAAGCACCGCGTGTTTCAGGTTTGACATTCTTGAAGAAGTGTTATTCGAAATCGACGATGACGCGAAGAAAATCCTTTCTATTCGCCTGATTTGGCCACGCGCGACATTTTCATCTTCCGTAGAATGAAGACGAAGCTCAAAGGAGATTTGGCACAGTTGAAGTGATTCGGGAAGAGGCGAGGATTGCGCTGAAGAGTGAGAACTTTCGGAAGGCGTTTCAACAACGACGGAATCGCTGAGACCGTTGCATCAACCCCTCTAGAGGGTTGCTGCAACTACCTTCGAATGGTCACCGCTAAATCCCAAGTTAGTCTGTTCGAAAATTTTAGGATCATTCCTTATACACAGCTCACTCGATCGAGTAATTAAAAAATCATGTCATCTGTCACGTCGAACACTAGGTTTACTAAGATTTCTTATCAAATTACTAAAGTAGCGCTTCAATAAGAAACATCGTTCTTAATCGTTTGCGTTTTATACAAAATGAACGAAAGCCTCCAACCCATTCGGAAAACCCTTTATAAGATCCACGATTAATCTTTCCACCTGCAACATTAAAAAAAGAAAAGCCCACTGAAGTTTCGCAGTTCAAGTACACACGTGAATTAGGCGTGCGATATAAAATGAAAAAGTTATCTCCTGCGGTTTATTCACCGCTCTGGCGGAACATGCTGTACGTTACGAGATTATTATCCTAAGTAATGCTGTAAGTCCTTGCACTCTACAGCAATAAAGCAACGTACGAAGGCGCGCGCGCACACGTTCCCGCATTTTGAGACGCGTTTTACGCGATATACCACGCAACGCCGATTAAGTATCGAGCCTCCGACCGTAACACCGTGCGCACGTTTATCCGCGACTTTAAGGGACCAAATTAAACATCCACATATTCCAGGAAAGATTTGCTTTAATGCGCCATCCGGGATAATTCGAGGGATTCGCCGTATTTGAATTTAAACTGTGCTCCACTGAATATAATATAATAGTCGTAGTGGCCTCATCTCCGTTGCCTGCAATTCCGAAAACGCGCACTGTCGAAATCTCGACGATTTTCTGCGATACGTGTACCACTTTCGAAACGGATACAATCAAGATCTTATTAGATCATTCGTCTCGCGATTAACACAAGTGTTAACACAATATTCCGTTCGTAAATTCAGTCCATGGAAACATGAATGAGAAATTTTTATCGCGAATACTATGGTGATGTACGAAGTTGAAATTTAAATATGTTAATGTAGATGCTTTGAAGTATGCCAAAGTACCTTTGTATCCAGAAGCTAAATTATTATATTCAGGAAGAATTTGGATAAGTGAACAAGTAATACGGAGTCGACGATAACAATTTCTTACAGGAGGAAATATTCAAGAAGGCTAAACTTATCAGTGAAGCGGTCGCGTAAGCCATGCATCTTCAAAATCGATTTTCTCGAAAACGAAGTTCCAAGGAAACGTTATTCCGCGTTTTCGATTTATTTTTGCATGCAGAGTCGCCTTCCCTTCGATTGTAGCACTAGATAGGGGTACACTGTGTGCCAGGTGCCCCCGGAAGGGCTTCGAGATTTCTCAAAATGAATAAATTTATCCCAAAATTTTCCTATGGAAAACTTAACGCGAGGAAAATCAAAAAATTGAATACTCGATTCTATCCTCCGCTTAGTAACTTACACACTTCTGAAAAATTATGATTTTATTTCGCAACACCCTGTACACGAAACAAATAAACAAAATGTAATCTAGGTCTCGCGCATCGATAATTTTCCAACGGAATCCAATCTAACAAACTCCTGATCCGTGCTCGCCGCCACATTTACATTTTTACCAACGTTCCGACATTTTTTTTTTTTGTTTTCAAACATTTTCGAATCGTCCCAGTCCCTTCCTTTTGTGCGGAATTTTTCGAAGCAAGTATTTTTCGAAATTAGAAGAACAACGTAAGCGCGACACGGAGATTTACGCGGGCTGGCGAGTGCATTGTTCAAATTGGAAATCGGTGGTTAGGCGAAAGGGAGAACAACAACTGGGACAAGTATCCATTCTTTCAGGATTTTCGTTATCCATCGCTGGTCCACGAGGGACGCTTTTATTTATGGCGTTACGAATTTGTTTTAATTTTGTTCGACGAAACGGACTTCCGACATCGTCATTCCGATACCGAACAACCATGAAATCCCGTTTCCGGCGCTAACTGTATGCCCGTGGAAATATTTAACTGCGACCGTTGGTCAAGATTTTTCGAGGGAAAAATAAACGTCACACGCTTCAACGCGAACACGTGTAACTCGAAACATATTTTCACGTCCTCCTTCAACATTTCAATTCGCGATACCTGGTTCTATGAAAAGTTTACGTCATCGATACCGTTGCCGGCATTCATAGAACGCGAAAAGAGCAAGTCGACAGAAATCGTAATACTACTAAAAATATTTAAAAGGGTGTATCTGTTATCCGCAATAAAAATAAATTTCAGTGTCCGAAAGAAGGAATTTAAAATTTGTGGTCGAACAGATGAGTATGTACTATTTTTAAATGAAAAAACCTGAATTCTGATAATATTACAGGTGATTTTGGATTTATGGAAACACAACAGGGAGAGAATTGGCATTAATAATTGGTATTATTAATTGATAAGTACGGAATGAACGACATTAATATCGCGTTGCAGAATATTAACACGCAATTATACTCGAATTAGTTTCATTACAGCTAAAATTCTGAAATAAATTAATCAGTATCGTCGATCCAATACCGTGAAATATTTCTAGTTTTAGCAGTGCATTAACTATTTACAGAAAATACCAGGACTCGAATAGAATTCTTGAAATGAAAAGGATAGGTACCGAGTTTTCATTCTATATTTATTCGTTATATATTCGATGACCCTAAAAAGTCGTCTTGATACTCGATTCGTTCCAGAGAACCCGCTTCCCCTCGCTTCTTTCTAATAACAAAAACGCAACGGTTATTTAAATTGCTAAGCCATGGTGGCCCGCCCCACATAACAATCAGGGAATAAAGGGCGAAGTGAAATTTCGCAGAAATTCGAAGAGCCAACCACGCCGTTGAAATGTTCGCTGAAAAGCAAACACTTTCCACCTTCAAAACATTTTCAATTTACGCCACAATTTACAGGGACGTCTTTTATACAGCTGCACTGTATTCCGTGGCACGGGCCTGATATCCTGACTCTCCCATTGGAACGTCCAAACGTCGCCAACAAATAGTCATGAAATTCTATTTCCGACGCCATCGGCTTAATACGGTGCGGTAGGCATTCAACAGGGACGAGATTCCAAAGAACGTGATAAGCATCTGTCCGTGGTTGATTGTGCCTCAACGTTTCCGTTCCGACGAGTCGATTCTCGATCGTTAACATATCGACTGCCACGCCAATCGTGAAAACTTCCAGCTGGATGAAACTTCATTCTGGGACAATAGAAAAGGTACACGATGCTTGTTTCGTGCTATTTTTTAAGGTCGTCATAATCACGAGTAGATCCACAGTGTAACAAGTACAATATAGGATGTACAGTAATTTAGATTTATTTTTTGACAACGCCACGTTTGTTCTTCAGAATCATTCCTTTTAGTTTCTCAAATGAAAAGCCCTGCCATGTTCGCAACGCGATTACCAGTGTATAGAAATCGATTTCATTTATCCTTTTTACTCTTGCAATACGTTCAAGAAAGTGCGGACTTCCAGGAATATTTTGAGCTTCGGGAACCGTCGAAACTCCGAAAATTACGGAAGTTATGAATTCATTCGGAAAGGTATGCTGGGTCGACGAGCGAACGCGACTAAAACTTTAATCATGTTTTTCTCGAAAGCATGTTTTTCAACCTGGTTGATAGCAAACTCGGTAAATAATTATCGTGGCGCCTTGAACTTTGGCCCCGATGCTTTCCACATAACATTATTTATCGCGGGCTGGGACACTGTATTTCTAATCTTAATTGCCTTTCTCTTGGACGTGAAAATTAATCATACTTTTCGTAATAATGGAAAATAATATTTCAGACGACATGCAAAATGTAGCATGATTTATTCTTTATAGTTATCCATATTATTGCTAATATCGCTGAAACCATAAGAGACATTTTATAACAGCGTGGTAAGAAGTTGAAAAATAATTTACCGGTATGGTTCCGAGGTTAGAAGTCGAGAAGGTTGCAAATATCGATGGAAGAAGGGTCCATGGGACGGGTGGACGCGACAAAACGGATCGGATCCATCGTACGCGTGGAAGCCACGATCGTTGGAAAAGATAATGTCGTTACGTGGGTGTCCGTTCTTGCCAGGGACCCGGGCCAGGATTATCGTCATCGTCACCGACGTTGTTTGAATATGCCGCATCAATTTGTACCGTCGATGTTTACTGTTATCACTGTCCGTGATCGATCGCTACGGGGGCCACCGCCGTTGTCGCAGGGACGCAGTCGCTTCGGGCTCACCATTTTCTGTCAAACGGTCCGTCAAAGCTGTCAGTTTTTCCTTTTTCTTTTTTCCTTTTTTTTTTTTTACCTCCCTCTCTCTCTCTGCCTCGTTCAATTCACGGCGGACCGACCGAAATTTACGCGATGCCCGCGACAATCGCGACAAATTGTCAAGTTTACAGCGCGCAGACGTACCATGGACGGCGCAAAATTGTCCAGATATTATCGAACGAATAATTTCGGGCCCCGTTGGCTGGTCAGTATCGCTCTTGCTCCTCCCTTACGCGTTCACCACGAGCCTAACCCTTGCAAACATTTCCCCAAACTAACTTCGTCACTTCGAGACGATTGGAAGCGAAATACATCGGTGATCTCGCCGTTATTTATACTTGCATTCGTTTCGTCTCCATCAGAATTAATTATTTTTAATCCCGGTAGCGATTAGGTTCCGGTAGCTCTCTCGATGCGACAGTATAGTCATTTATACAATTCCTTAATTTTATTAACTTCAAAGAGTTTAAAACACATTTAATTACGAAAATAAAGCACACCTTTCCGTTCTCTGAAATTTAAACAAATTTTCTCGAGTCTGGTTGCCCTACAGCTTTCTCGCCAAATGAAAACGTTTCTCTGGTTTCAGCTATATCAATTCCTGCTCGCCGACGTTAAGCTGAGACACGCGATTAATCTGGGCTCCAACTGCGGGATCGTCACGTTTCTCACCTGGGTTATGATCTTGATCGTCCTCGTCTGCTCGATCACGGTGAGTCGCGCACGAGTCCCTGTCCAGACTTCGCGTATCCATCGCATAATTTCGTGACTCGCTGCAGCGGCGTTAACGGGATCCTTACGTTTTCGCTGATTAAATCGTCCAAGGAAATTCGGAGTGATTCGTATCGTTTAGGCTAAGGACACGTTCGGATCGGGGTGGAATGCTTCTCTATTTTCGCCACAATGGCCCTGAAATGAATGTTACGACTCTTTATTAAGGAACTAAAACAATTAATTCCAAAGCTGAGACGGTAGCAAATTTGGCGACGTTAAAAAATTAAATACTGCGACAAATGTTGAATTATCTAATAGTCTCGAGACTATTGCTTCCATGAAATTGTAACAGCTCATTTTAATCTACATCAAACCTTCATCAATTTTCCTATTATCTCATTGTCAGCTCTCGATTTGTAAAGTACAGACACAGATGTAATGTAACGGGTGTCTCCTCGTGACAATTGTGTCACATCACACTTGGCTGCGTCATCCTGCGCCGAACGTGTGTCTAGCCTCGGTGCCGCTCCGAAGTCTAAAGTTTCTCGCTGGACAGGATCGCTCGCGTCGCTGACCCTTGTGTTTCTTCGTGTTTCCTGAACTCTGGTCAACGGCACGATCGAAAGTTCCCCTGATGTTTAACGAGCGGAAAGGTTAATTCGATTGGACGTGAAGTTGTCGGCGTGTCGAGTGTTCCCCGCTTTACTCGACTCGCGTTTGACCGAATACGTCAAAGTCTCCCTTATCTCTAACGGGCCTTCTATCGCAAACGTCCACAAAAATCAATTACTTTGGCAATCGAGCCATTCGTTATGAAAGTCATTAAAGCTCATTGTCCTTTATTCACGTTGCGAACTGTTTTCCAAAATGGGGTTTCAGATCTTCAATTTTAATCAATCAGAAGTGAGTTAGCCTAGATGCAATGGACTTAGAAATGAAAATATTCAATCGGAATGGCACGGAAATTGAAATTCACGAACAGAAATTTATTTCGAATTGCTACGGTTGCACGAATGCAAATGTTTCGCGATTGAAAGAGGAAACGTTGGCTCGTCTTGCGCGTTATCATACAGGGATGCAAAAAACAGCGCACGTTTCCATTCTATTTACGAAACCCGCTTATTAATTCATCTCCCGTTCGACATCGATCTCAGAACTCGAAGGCGGCCGCTGCGACCGAAAAAGACTTCCTGGCGCTGCAGAAGGAAGCGGAGAAGGTATACAAGCTGCAGAGATTGCCCCTGGATGGTATTCATGAAAGAAGTTCATTTAGAATTTTTATTATTACTATTTTATATCGAATTAGATCAATTTTTGACATTCTTTCAAGTTTCGAATGTATGCTAGAAAAAAGGAACAATCTATAAACTCCCTTTATAGATTGAAATATTACTCTAAGATCCCCTGAACAATTGGTCGAACGATGATGTCGAAGAAAAAAAAGTAGTAGTTACGCCAATGAACATCCCTTGGGAAAGCAGAAATGCTAGTATGCACGCCTGTGATTGTTGTCAGCGCTTTCCAAGAAAAATACGCCAGACGGCTGCGTCTACGATCTACCCCTTTTCCTCGGAATCGCGTACGCATTTCTGGTGTATTTCTGTAGGCCACTAGACCCGTCTTTCCATTCGTCGTAATCGATTATATTAGGAAACTTTAAACTGCCGTAGCTCGGCGTACGATCGTTGAATTTAATTCCAACAAAATGCAAACTGCAGGGGAGAATTTCTGCTATCTAATCGATGCTCGTTATCACTAGATGAACCATAATTTATTATCAGTTAAAGAGGTGAAACCAACTCTAAAAATTTACAAGGTGTACAATCTATTCGATTTGGATGAAACTTGGTATACAAGGGTTTTTGGGACTCCAAATCTGAACTCGGAAAATAAAAATTCCGACAAGGAATTTGATTTCTTTTTTCCATTATCGCTATTGTTGCACTCTCTAGCATCGTGAACGTCACCCAGGGGCAACCTTGCATCCAAGCAGCCCACTCGAACAAACTGTGGTCGCACAGCGTTAATAACGATTTGAGTTAATTTGCAGAAAATCCCGCGGAAGAAAAGCGTGATAGACATCAGGCCAGCTTACAACTGCATCCATAAACACGTAAGTTTACCCCGTGGATGGGACCGAGGAAACCTTTCGCGTGAACCGAAAGTGCATTTCGTTGTTTTGCTCTCAGTTTCGCCTCGGCTCACCGAGTCCCTATCAACAATACGGTTAAAGTAAATGGTAAATTGCTTTCTGATTTCCAGCTGCAGCAGACCGACGTGTTTCAGGAGAAGACGAAGAAAATGGTAGGTCTCCTCCCCTTCTCCCCTCTCCATCGGCTTGGAATAAATTTCCCTTCCAAGGGCGATAAACTTACCAGGGATTCTTTATTTCGACAGGTCTGCAAGGAACATTTGGAGCTGGAAATCTTGGCCAGCAAAATCAACTGTATCAACAAGCTGTTGAAACCTGAGGTACGACTCCTTCTTTTCTTTTTTTTTTTTTTTCTTAACAAAACTCCCCAACGTTCGCGTTCCGATCACGGAACCACCTTCGATCTTTCGATCTCTTTTACGGAATTCTAGTCCCACCTCCGCAGGAAAACTCGAAGTTTCGAAGAATAAGTCAAAGCTGGAGTTTGCATACCATATTTCTCCACGTTGCTTTCTTCAACGTGGTTCATTGTACGAATGATTAATTGTTTATGTACGTGGAATGGGTTAATATTAAGGTTTCCTAGAAGTGGGTCCAAGCATTTTAGTCACTTTGCTTTGGTGCACGCAAGAAAGTGGTCACTGTACTAAGCATAGCTCGGATATTATTGAAGATGTGGTGTATGGAGCTACTCCGTTAGATTTGTCACTCGCCATATTTTCGATATATGTGGAGGAAGTCAGAAATGATATATGTTTAGAGTTCGATTCAATTTCAAAGTCTCTAGTGTCTGAAAGATCTCAATGTTTGGTGGGCAACATTTTTCCAGCCTATCCTATTGTCACTAAGTCTCCTGTTCGCGGAACTCGAGCTACTTATGGCAGTTTAGCATAGCAAGGGCATGGAAATATCCCCCTGGAAGGGTTTGCGAGTTCGTTCCTCCTTCCCTTGTAAGGAGGGCTTTGCTTTGTTCGCTGTGGTTTCCACAAGCTCTGTTATTGGTATAGATGGCTGTAGAACTCGTCGTAGACTCGAACTGCACAGTTATAGTTGTACTTTGGATGGAAGTTTCGAG